TTATTTAGCTATAAACAATATTAAATAATACACACACAAATAAATAAAAATAAAAATAATACCTTTACATACAGAATTTACAGATACTATTTACTTATAAGTTTATTTGTTGTTGATGGTTACTTTTTATTATACTTGGAAAAATTATACTTACATACATATGCTCTTAATATTACACGTATCTGAATATTTAAATGATAATTCCATAACATAATAAGATTCAATCTATATCACAGCAAAGACAATACTTAAATCACAGTTCTTTTTATTAATTAATTTGCATAAGTAAAAACATAAAAATATTATTTAGCTTCAAATCTATAAAATAAGTCCTCTAGTAACAAACATATGACAAACACATATAGTGAAAATAAAGATAAATAAATAAAAATGTTTTGCTTTTTGGTCTAATGTAGTGCAATTCAGTCTATTATATTCAAATTTATTAAAACATACTGCAGTAATTGAATTTTTTCCATTATACATCAAACAGCTTTATATAGAATGATATTTATTAGTTTTACTTTTAAAACTAATAATATAATTAATTCTCATTTTATATGCGGAGATGTTTGAATAAATGCAAAAAAACCATGTCCCTGACACAGTTCATTTGGGGCTAGCAGAGAACCACGATATGGCTGCCCAAACCAGAACAGAACCCCCGCCATGTTTCACTCTTGGCAACAAACAGTCTGTATTATAGGCTTGAGATGGCGTTCTCCAGACGTAAACTCGGCTAGAAGTGGGAAACAATGTGAAAGAAGACTCGTCAGACCATATTACTCGCTTCCACTGCTCTATAGTCCAGGCTTTATGACTTAAACACCACCTTTTCCTGTTACGGGCATTAGCGTCACTGATGAGTGGCTTCTCAATTGCAGCACGGCCAGCAATTCCCTGTTTATGAAGCTCCCTTCTAATTGTTTTGGTACTCACAGGGTTCGGTAACACAACATTCATTTCAGCAGTAACTTTTGCAGCTGTGGTCTTCTTATTTTTTCGTCACAATTGCCCTTAATGATCGTCTGTCACGATCACTCAGGACACACTTTCGTCCGCCCTGTGATTTAGCAGATAGATGATGTTTTTTTTTTCCGCTTTTCAAATATGCGGAATAAATCTTCGATACAGTACCTCTTGAAACACTAAACACCTCGGCTACCTTGCTTACGGAAGCACCTACCATACGTGCTCCAACAATTTGCCCACGTTCGAAGTCTGTTAACTCTGACATAATGCAATGACAACCTCACATAACAGTACTCCGACAACAACTGAACTGTTTAGCACATTTACGAAGTTGTATAGGTGGCGTCAGTAGTCAAAAACGCCAGCGCCACCTACATATATTTCATTAAAATCAATCTTTCTTTTCAAACATGCATTTCACAAGGTGTTTCCATATTTTTGTCTATCCACTGTATCTCATTGATATATTATAAATATAGCTTAAACATGTTTTATGTGCATACTCAAAGGGGGTGGGAAGTAAGCCTTGATTCAAAATCTGTTTTAAAGCAATAAGTAAATAAATAAAATACACTGGTTCTATTAGAATGTCAAAAAATACTGTTATATATTCTATAAACAAATCCAAATTATCACATCATATTATATAACCCTGGTACAAAAGAAGAAATGTCTGATTAGGAACATACTCTATTTATTTGGTAAAAAAGAAGAGTAAAACATATGCAACATCCCATTATGAAAAATCCTGCAAGCCATTACAATACTATAAGACATTGATTAGTAAGGTAAACATCAGTTGATCATTCTTTCACAACAGCAATAAATGTTTCATTTAAAATTCCTAATAACATGCCAAAACAGATTCACAATTGATGCCTCATTTAAGGTCACACAAAAGTAAATCCGATTTAGCTGACTATGAGATCTTCTATTGTAGAGGACTTTCTAAGGAGAACTGGCTTGTATTCACATTACACATGGGGAAAAACCACAAAAAAAAAAAAAAAAAACCAACCATGCAGCCAGCCTGTTCGGAAATAGAACAGAAGATGGAACTCCCAGCATTCAGTAACTTTAACCATTCAGCTGTTGGTGGGCCTAATTATTATTCGAAGAGACAAACAGCAATTTTTCAGTGACAACTACTCTACTTTTTTACAGACAGAACTGAACAGCAAAAACTTCTTAAACTCTTGATTAGATTCTAGTTTACTTTCTTCCTTTTAAAAGCAGGAGATGCAAAACTTTGCCGCTGCTGCCTTTTATTTTGAAGAAGCTTCTTGAGACCAATTCCACGGGCAGTCAAATAATATTTTATTATCTTTGTTTTGATATTGCAACAGGAGGGAATATTTACCTCGCCTGCTTTCTTACAAATCATATTAACAAATTCCACATCCATAGTTACATTTCCATGTATTATTTTCGTCTCGAAAATTTTGAATTATTTTTTCACACAGAAGGCACAATTTAAAAATTTCTGGAGAAGGACATTTAAGCCCACCTAAATTTGCAAAATTAATTATGTACTGCTTATTTTCATCAATGGAAGGAGTATTTTGCTCACAAACTAAGAGAAACTGTGAGCATGAATTACAAGCATTTTTCAAAACAGAATTTATTGCAGCTCCTGCAATATAACAGACGTTATTTTCCTTTTCCTCACTAAGGGTGAGATTCTGTAGAGATACATCAGAAACTTCTGGTATGGTAACAGGCTCTAAAGCTTTTTTTTCTCCTTCAGAAATTCAAATTCATCTTTCGCATAGTTTAATAAGTAAATATCTGAATCAGTAGCATAACTGGAGTTCTTAATGTCAGATATAAACTGAGATAAACAGATAAGCTTTAATGCTTTCACAGCTTGCAAAGCACTTGGCCTCAAACCAGCTTTTCTGCGTATCTGAGAAAATACATTTTCTAGAGCATCTTGTGTCAATCTGCTCGTCAAAATAAACTGAAAATCATTCAGAAAACATGCCTCTGCTAACTGTATGGCTGATAAAGTAGAAAGAATCAAACCAGTATGTAATGGTTTCCACCCTTTACCAATTTCTATAAGCTGTATAACATTAATAAATTCAAAAAGTAACTCAATTTTTTTGCTTTTATTTGTCACAGAAATTGAGTTCTTTCTACATCTAGAGGATAGCATTTGAAACCACACTGACATATAAATCTTATCCACCATGCTGTTGTAAGAGCATTAGGGCTTATCTCTTTTAAAGCTACTGCCTTCTCCAATCCCACAGCTGTTTTAATTGGAAAAAAACCTCACAGCAGAAGCAACATTCATTTTATCAAAATGTGAGGGGAAGAGGTCTTCTTTGCTGAGATGATGCATAGTTCTCAAACCACAATTTTGGTTTGTTTCAGTAATCCAGATATCTTTTATAAATCCTGCAGATACATGCAAAGTAACCAAATTTTCTTTATTGCAAACATAACTGGGCAGTTTTATACTATGATTAAGAGTTGCAGACCAGAGATTTTTTAAAAGATGTGGCACATCTGCAAATACATAAATAATTTTGCCCTTAATTTCAGTAGTGAAATTATTTCTTTGGTTTCGAGAAACAGATATTCCCAAAGAATTCCACAGGCTTCTATTTACTGCTGCCATATCGCTAACAATACCAACAACATTAAATCCAACAGAATTGACAGCTTCGATAACATTGACAACAAGTTGTTTGAGCTGGCATCCTGTTACCTGTCCAGTTATCTCATGGGCAACCACTTGCTTCCATTTCAGCTTCAAACCTCTTAGTAAAATAACTAAATAGTGATTTCCTGCACCCTTTTGATTTCCTAATGTACATTTACCAATAAATTTACGTTTTGAAATATCAAAATCAGGATTGCCAGAAATCTCCATTTCATCCAATGATAAAATACAGTCTTTATCACTAGCATTCATTTTTTCTCCTTTAATTTTCAAAAGGTTCAATCATGTCACTGATGACTCCAAAATTCATTTCAAGACCTTGAAGTCTTTTATTTAAAGTGCTGTATGAAGGCACAGGAAAACCTATTCTGTGCAAGTAATTATAACCATGCTTGCCCAAGGCAAATCTAACTTTGAGGCCTTTTATTATTCCCTCGTTAGACCATTTTGCAATGCTTCTACGAGGAATTTTCAACATTGCTATTTGTTCATCTGAAAGAAATGTTTTCACTCCTTTCAGCAATTCCTCATGCTGTACTTGAAGGTCATGAAGTTGAATTTCAGTGCTATGCCATTTTTTTAAAAAACATTAATTTCATTTTTTTTTTTGGTTGCTGTAAGTTCTTTCAGTAATATTTTGTTTTTGTTCTGGCATTGCAGAAGCGAGATCAATTCAGTCTGCTGTTTTTTATAAAATTCCTTAAAAGAACATCCTGGAATAAAGAAAAAATCTATATGAATAATCATCAAAGAAGGGGGGGGGGAACACAACAAACAAACAAAAAAGATCTGAAAGGTTTCAGATTTTTAAATTACACCCAAAGGGGCCTTTTTTTAACATTTTGTGTTTTACCTTTATTTATTAAATATCAAGTTTTTTCACACTTAAACTATAAAATTCAGTTCAACAGCAATATTGCAAGATAATTTTAAAATGAACATATCTTCAGAATTCCCGATTCATTGTCTCACACGCTGGAGATAAAAGTGTCTTTTCTGTACAACATTGCCATTGCTCGCTTTGAAATCCTCAAGTTTGTTAATCAAAAATTCGTTAAAGTTTTACAACATATAAAATATATATTAAAACAAATTCCGAATTTCAAATTCGGTCTTCCAGATGTCCATATTCACAGTAGAATTAAGTCATTCAAAATTTGATGGCTCTAGGTACCGTTGTTTTATCAGAATGCAAAAAACATACATGCATTTATGCAGATTCTTCACTATATAATTTCTTTAAATATAGTACAGGGTGATAATATTTGGTGGCAACAATTTGAAAAGTGATGCAGCCGTTTATAGTGTTTCAATACAAAACGAAAACAATAGTCCTTCAGGGACAAAGCCCCTTTGGATTAAATGCCAAACTTAAACAGATAATAAATCCACAAAATAAAAATGCAACTTCCAGGTCTCTTTTCCTATACTGTGGTGGGTTTTTAAATTTGACTCTATTGTTTTCAGCATTTTCTAGATTATTTTTGTTTTATTTTCTAATATTTAAAATTTATTTCACTTAAAAATAGATTTTTAAAATTTATTTCCAGCTTTTCAAGGGATCGATTATCTCCATAATCATGAGCAATTTAATAACACAAATTATCAACTTATATCACAGCCTTCACAAATGCTGATGAAATTAATTAAAATTAATTACAATTTGGTTGCAAGATGAATCTAAAGGTTGTTTTTGCAAACAAAACTGAAATTTACATAGAGAATTTGCAACTATTGATGAAATTAATTACATTCCTTTTACCAAAAAATTACTTTATAGAACATTTTAAATGCATATAAGGAAGCAATTTAATTATACATTAGTTATCAACTTACATCAGAGCCTTCACAAATAGATGGTATTTCATTGCAAAATGAGGCTAAAGGCTGTTCTTGCAAACAAACCTGAAATGTACACAAAGAATTTGTAAATGCTGATGAAATTAATTACATTCCTTTTACCCCCCCCCCCCCAAAAAAAAAGTTAATAGAAACATTTTGTATAAGCAAGCAATTTAATAATACACTAATTATCTACTTACATGAGATCCTTCACAAATAGATGGCATTTTATCACAAGATGAAGTTGAAGCTTGTTCTTGCAAACAAACCTGAAATATATATATAAGAAATTTAGAAATACAGATAATATAAACTACATTCATTTTAAGAAATAATTATTTTACATAACATTTTATAATTCATAAATAGATAATAAATTGTTAACACTCAAAATTCAAAAATAATTCCATAGCACAACAGCCAGATATAGTACAGCTGTTTAGCAACCATAAGACAAACAATTTCATATTTCAGAAATCGTATAAAAATTCATTAATATATGTAAAACATATGACATTTAATAGCTGCTCAAATGAAAACATAGAATAGATTCTTTACTAGCAGCTGTTATTTAATCAGAAGGTAATGCTAAATGTTGTTGCAAACACACCTGAGATGTACTGTAATGTACACATTTGCAACCACTGGTGAAATGAAATAAAGTGCATGATTATGAAGATGGAAACATTTAAAAAAACATAGTACAGTTTACGAATAGATGTTAAAAAAAACTATTAAAATTTTTTAGAAGTGCAAAATGGCAATTTACATCAGATACTTCGGCAGCAAAATTTATTTCTCCAAAATATGAAGCTGAAGGTTGTGGCAAATGAACCTAAAAGAAATTATAATATATGAAATATGTGGAAGTGAAAGAAATTATAAACTCTGATCGGATAAAAATAAATACAAATAATCATTACCATTTTCAAAGTAACTCAACTTATAAAAAAGCATAAATACATTGGACTGTTCATAGCATTCATACTTCTTAAACATAAGTAAATATTACGTTAATATATTTTTTTTAGAAACAGTGTTAATACTTTTTAGAAAAAGTTTATAATACTAAATATTTAATAACTGTTCAAATGAAGACTTACAACAGATGGTTCAGCAACAGAAATCGCTTCAGTTGATAAAGGTAAACTGTGCAGCAAGCCACCCTGAAGATGCAAAAATTATGAAACACATATAAGTAAGGATACCTGAAAATGCTGATAAATAAAATATACTTAATGTAATTTTAATAATAAATAATATAAATAATCCTAATAAGTTTTGTAAATCTTTAAACAAAAAATAACAACATTCAGACAAGACATATAAGACATTAAAATATACATTTAAATCAATGTATTATAACTATATTATTGTATTACTCAAGATTAAAGTTATTAATTTCAATATTATTTCTTTTACTTACTCCATACATATTTCTCTCTATTTATCTGGAATTTAAAATTAAGCAAAAAAGCAACTTTAGTTTAATACAAATTTTGATTTAAACTCTTTTGACTTTGAAGGCAATCAGATACCGGTTTCTTTCTTTTAGGAGCAAATTTGAAGAAACCAGACCCATGTATGACCGTCCTCGAAAAACTACAAAAACTTTATCCAAAAACTACATCAAATTGAGGTTTTATGCTTAATTTTCAATATATGATTATAATAACAAAGTACATACTTAATTATATATATAACAACAGCAAAATTTTAATTTTTTAATCTAATCTTAGGGACTGTAATTACAGCTTTATCACATAATGCCTTAATTTCAATATTTTGATTCTTTTATAAAGCAATTTAGTCCATTTGTAATAAAAACATATTTTTTTTTATGAAAAACCATAAAAATAAAAAACACATACATTACAAAAATTGGATGTAACTGAACGGTGCTTTGGTAAACCAATGCCTTTTAGACGCTGTGGGGTCAACAGTTGTGGGGGGATTAGGCACATTGAAAAGAGTTGGCACAGCATTGGGCTTGAGTTTTTTACGCCCATCTTGCCTAGAGCATTCAAATTGATTTTCTTCAAAATGTACCTGCATATTTAACAAAAGCATGCATGAAATTTAACATTAAAATCAAAAGCACTAGTATTTAAATTACAGTTACATATATTATATAATTTAAGAATGTAATTTTCTGATAAAATTAAATTTTTTTTATGAAAATAGAACAAAATTTTTAAAAAGTAATCATGTTTGTAAAACTACTTAAAACATATTTCCTGCTCACACACTAAAAATAAATTTAAAGTACCTATAGTTAAAAATACAACATTAAGATTTACTACTACAATAAAGGATAATAATGGGATCAAAACGATTCATCGAATATTTAAATTAATATTTAACTTCTTAAAAATGTCTAAAAATACAGAATATATTTATCTTACTATAAAGAAAAAACAAAATCATTTATTATTTGGATCATACCATCCAGTTTTTAACATTGGCGCCAACTATCCGATTTGGCGACAATACATCAGAATCAAAACATAGAATGCTACTTTAAATCACCAATCGTACAGTAAAATTAAAGAAAAGAAAAAGGCACATCACATTTCTAACTGAGCACAAAGTTTACATGAAATGTATGATACAAATTTTACAAACGGTATAAACTTTTCACGATAACAAAAGAAACAACATGAAACAACGATATTTTACTGCACAAACACATACACATTCCGCAGTTGATTTTGTACTTATAAAATCAGTTGATCGTCAATAAGTGACAGTTAAATGAAAATAAATATTTTAAAGTACCAAGAAGAGTAATTTTTCTAACATTCTATGGAAAAATACGAAGCTGAACTTACCTCACAAAGATACGCTCCTGGGCCCGGGATCCATTGATCTCGACGAGAATTAACTATCCATTTTCTTCGTCTTTCTTCATTTCTAGGGAAACGAAACATCCTAAAGTTATTTTTAGACTGATTCGAACAATTTGGTGCAGCACAACCACCCATTTTTCTGAAAATTAGGTCGGAATCGATCCACAAATATGTCAAGAAATCAGTGCTAATCCAATAGCGAATACCAACAAGTTAGCTTCAAAAATGGATGATGATTCAGCTCCCCTTTTAGTAGCCTTAGGCTCCAGGCTGGGAAAGGGCTAGTTTGTTATCAAGGCTGTTTCGCACGTGCTTATTACTGATGTAAAATCGAATGGGAAATTTTTCGAAAAATACGCTGCTTGATTTAGTAAAGAGTATGGAAATAACAAATGGGGAACGTTAATGGATATTTTAAACGTAGAAAGAAATGGCCTCTTCAAAACTTCAGGTATGTGAACAAATGTAAACATAATTTTACGTATGATCTTTTGCAAAATGGAAATTTTCTAACAGGTTACATGTTTGTAAACTATTTGTTAAAAGGAATTTTATGATTAAAATACATTATTTTGTCTGAAAAGACTATGCAACAACGTCATAAGTCAAATCATTGAGCACCGCGTACGCGTGTTTAATATTCCTAATGAATTTGAATCAAAAAATTTTAATTTTTTGCAACCCATGATTATATTAATAATTTTATTTATTCAGGAATGATACCTAACACGTAGCTACAAATATACTATGTATCGTAGATACCAATAAACAGTGAGTAAAAATATAACAAACTTTTAACAAAAGTAATAGGAAGAAAAATCAAAAAAATTAAATAACTATAGGTTAAATCATAAAACATATTATCTTGCACACACACACATATTTTTTTAACATATATTTTAACATATGCAGTGAAAGGGAATTGCAATACATATTCCTATTTATACCCTTTTCAAATCGATCCCACCAGTGACTGTGTGGTAAAATCGCTGAATACTGGTAGTTCGGTCCGAGGTCCAAATACTGCGGACGGGTTTGTTGCATTACCAACATATCTCTGATAACCAATATAGCTGTCATTAAAACATATTTCTCGTAATTTCCAAAAGCATAAAAAATTAACACATACTAAACCTGTTTTAAATAAATAACTATATGCATATAAAAATGTATTATAAATATATTAATATATGCAGTGAAAGGAAATTGCAGTACATATTCCTATTTATGCCCTTTTTAAGTCGATCCCACTAATGGCCGAGCGGTAAAATCTCCGAAAACTGGTAGTGCGGTCCGAGGTTCGAATCCCGCGAACGGGCTGGAAGCATGGGCGTCATTACCAATGTATCTGTCATTACCAATGATATATTGGTAATGAGAGATATATCATTGGTAACTTATAGAAGTTTAAGGCACAGAAAATCTTTTTAAATATATATAAAACTGTATAAATATATTAACAGATGCAGTGAAAGAAATTGCAGTACATATATATTTATACCCTTTTTGAATCGATCCCACCAGCGGCCGGTAAAATCGCTGAACACTAGAAGTTCGGTCCAAGGTTGGAATCCCGCGAACGGGCTGGTTGCATGGACGTTTTCGTGGCTTTTTCCATGTGTTACGTGTATACGAGCTAGTTTTCCTTAGAATGTCCTCCACGAAGGCAACCCTCACTTTAGGCAGATAGCCCTCGAGGCTTTGCCGTAATGACATAAAACCAAAACTAAGCCCTTTTTAAATCTGAATAAATATACACAAAACTGATGTAATATCTAAAAGTAGACCACATTAAAAAATCTGATAACTAATTATAAATCTTGCATTATAATATTAACAAGAATTTAACCGAAAATTATACAGGAATTTAACTTGTTTTATACAGGAGATTCTAGAAACTATTGGAAACTGACAATGATATCGATACAGTTAAAACTACTTAAATAAATTTTTTTAACTCAAAACAATTAATTAGAGGGAAACACATTATCATTTAAAACGTAAAATTTCAAAATTTATAAATTACTCATCAAAATATGAAATTAAGTACATTGATATATACATTAGTTTAAAAATTACAATTTTAAATTAAAAGTATGCACCCCTTCTTTATATGTGAAATAGGAAAACACCAAATATATTATTTTCACTAAAATTTAATTAAGGCATTGGTAATGTAGAATAAATAAATAATGTAGAATCGTCAGCATCAAATGCGTTATTTCTATAGCGAAATACTCAAGTTTTTCACAAATCTTAAGAAATTAAAATATCTATTACGTACACTTTCAAAAACAATCCGTGACCTCCACCGTCCTCAGTTTAGCTCTAAAACGACAGTCAGAAACTTAAACGACAGCTGTTCAGCTGACGGAAAAATTTCCGACGCGTCGATCTCTGTAATGATCGAGACGATGACACCAGACTCGCTCTCTGTCGAGTAGATCGCAAAAAGCGACCCGTTCTTCTATCTCGATGGTGTTCAGACTAGGGCCCGAAAATAGCTAAAAATCAACCAAAATATTGAATTTGATTTTTTACTCTCATAATATTCCATATACGTAACTAAATCGTATGCAAAAAAACCTAATTTAAATATTCTAATTTTTAAAGAAGTTACAATCATTTAAAATGTATAAACAATGTAAACTTTGCCCTTTAAATTTTGGAGAAAATGTAAAAAAAAAAAGTATTTCAACAGTTAAATCGCCCCAAAAAAGTGTTTATTTCTAAAAAAAGGCTAGAAATGTCAGAATTGACAACTATTAATGAATTTAACTTTGGTTATGTAAATGCTATACGCTTAGAGCATGGGGAAACTCGTTTTCCCTATTCGTTGCAAGAAAAGCCGCATCAACGTCGCTTGAACCAAAACAAAAAGAAAAGTTTACCTGCTTGGGAAAAAAAAAAACGGAAATAGTAAAAAATATTGTAAAGCATTAAAAGATAATGTAAAGGTGGAAAATGAAAGTAAAACATGTGATGCGGGTGAATTTTAAAAGTTTCATTGGATATAATGCATAAATTGTTCCTCCCTATAACTTTGAATCACATACAAATTTGAGATATGTTTATATTTGTTATATTTAATATTATGAGATTAAAAATAGTTAAATAATACGAAAATGTTATCTAGCATTTACAAATTCACATTTAAAGTTAATTTCCTGTTTCTATGACCATGTATTAAAGGTAAGTTTGAAGAAAAGCTTTCACAAAACAAATTTTTTCGCAGTTCCTATGTCTTGAAAATGCTCCATGCGACTCATTTTTAGTTCAAAATGAATGATATTTGGAAGAAAATATCTTGTTATATGTTACATTAGAACTGTGTATGCATTTTGGATATGAGGTTATTAAGAAGTTTAAACTTGTGATAAAGTTTAACAAAAAGTGATATTTTCCCGAAAATTGGGTTTAAGTCCACAACAGTCCTTTTTGAAAATAAAGAGCACTGTGGTTGAAGAGAAGTATGTTTGATTAAGTCATAAAATATTGCCTAAGCTCACAAGGCTCGAGCCCAGGGTCCTAGTGGGGATTTAGCGAGCTCCGAAATTGTTGTCTTATAAAATACTTATATAATAAATGTTATTTTTTGTCTTATAAAAAGTGAGCTAGCGGATTTGTAAAGAGGACCTAAGAAGTGACAAACTACGCTAACCGGATACCCCTGGCGGTAAAATTTAGAGAGCTAAAAAAAATGTGTCGTAGAAAGTGTTCACGAACTGTGTAATAAACGCAGATGGAGGGTAGTAACCGAAAGACAGCGCTTCAAATTTATCTGCAACGTCAAATAACCTACGTTAACTGTTGTTGCAAGGAGCTATACCATAACGGTAAAAAGACTGCAGATCTCCACAATTTACACAACGTTACAGTATTTATGCAACATTACAGATCTAGTAATCGAATAAAAGAGGAAGAAATTTGATTTTCGATACAGTTGATAATGTGCAGTGATAATTCACCGTGAGTGATAGAATGCATAAAAGTCTAAATGCAAAGATCTTATGATTGTGTCCTTGTAAGTCAGGTTGCGAAATGCGCCCGGTTATTCGGATAATGGTTCGAGCCGTGTTATAATGAGCGAGCGTTATACTAGTGAATGATTATCTTGAGGGTGAAGAACTCCAGCAGATAAAGCGGACCACATTATCTAAAGATTTAAATCTGATACAGCATGAATGAGATGCTCTAAGACGCCGATATGTATTGCTGAAGCTCCCACTTAACATTCTGTAAGAGCTTCAAAGTGCTATTCATCGTGAATGTACTTTGATATTAAAGAAATGCCTGGACAATTTAATATGCATCATGAAAAATTATGTAGAATTGTCATTTCAGTCAGCAATTTTCATACCATATCAATTTTTTCTGTGTATCTAAAAAATTCTGCTACCAACTTTTGTCTACCTCTGTACATTTATGTATTACATTGCTTATATTAGAGCTCTTACATTCTTTATTATTACATTTCTTATATTCTTATTTAATTTTATTTTAGGAAATAGTCTATTTTATGTTTTGAAGATATGACACGTGTAACAAAATGAAGATCTTGAGCAAGTTCCATGTTCTTAGCTGTAAAATCATTCGAATTTTATACACTGACTTTTATACACTGATAGAAAATTGAATCTCCACACCAAAATGAAATCTGCTTTGAAGAATGAAGTATAGACATAACATTTGTCTATTTGATTAATGTTTAAAGGTCACAGGTTAAAGCATATTCGAGAAGAGTGTTTTCAAGCGTAAAATAGTGGTACATTAATAATCGCTATAGTTGCCACGATATAGAAACGAGTAGGCACTAACGCATGCATTGTGTCCTACAGATGCCGTAGGTGATTCTGTGAGGTGGAGTTTCATTGCCTGTTGGACCTGGTCAGTCAAATCAGCAAAGGTCCGTGCTTTTTGTAGACGACGCTGGATTTGTCTTGCAATCATATTCCATACGTACTCATTAGGAGAAAGACCGGTAAAATCCTAGGCAACATGTCGATACTCTTAAGAGCACGTTGGGTGATAGCAGCAGCATCCGATACAGGTGATTTCACTGTGATTCTAAGGTCAGAAATCAGGGATAGCCAATTCGTTACAATGACCTCCAGGCATCATTTGCCCGAAGAACTGTGACAGAGAGGTATTGGGAGATAGAGGCAGGATATAGTTAGACAGATGGTAAAATGTAAGTCCTTTTTCAGTTTATAGACTTTGTTGACAATTTCTAATCACAGATTCCGCATCCAATAGTCTCAGCCAAAGACGGAAAACCGTTATAACGAACGCCGATAACCGATATTCGTTGTTATGCGCACGAAGAAATAAAAGCGCATCTCAGACTTAACTCAGATTCTCCCTTGCTGCAGCTACCAGAAGGTTGGTGCCAACGTCAACTTTGTGAAGGCTTCACGAAAGAAGTCTGTATATGAGAGGACCAACCATTTGCGTGCCCCTCACGTCACGTCATAGAAGAGAGCATTTTTGGTGGGCGCGTCAATATATACACTGGCACATCAGTTGGAAGCTAGCTTTAATACCTTTATTCAGGTGCTCAGTAAGTATTGTTTTTCTTATCATCTGCTGTAATCTCTCGAAATGTCGGCGGCGAAGGAACCCCCAGATAGACCTAATTCGAGTAACCCGATGGATATTTCGATGAAAGATACGACCGAGTTACCAATCAACCGAAAAATGAACAAACGAGAACAGGAGTTTATTTTTAACTTGGCAGTTGAAGCCTATCGTAATGAATATGAACATAATAAATCAGTAAATCCAGACGACCCAATCTTTCAGCAATTTCTTGCTGCAGAAACGGAAGAATATATTGGAGATAGACACAAAAGAAAACTGCGGAAATTAAAGGAATCTGCTAAGGATAAAGAGAAAATCAAACATAATTAGAAAATGAAGAACATTTTCCCGAACCTGATGAAAGGAATAGCTGAAACAAGTAAACGTGCAGAGTCTACAGATGGTAGCTCAGAATGGATACTCCCCCGTAAAACGGCTAAAATTAACGATAACGATTCCGTAAGCTCGGAAATCCCGCTGCAAAATAGGTTCAGTAAACTACTCTCCAAAATTTCAGTTGATAACCGCCACAGATAATACTCCCAGTAATGAAGGAAGTAGAATACCGTCAATTATCATCACGCAGGAGAAACTAAATTGGTTAGAGCTTGACGGCATCCTAAAGAATGTCTGTATTGCAGAATACGAAACTCAGCTCAGAAGGAAGTCTATTTTCATTTATCCGAAAACCAGTGAAGATCATAGGAATATCACATTAACGCTCGATCAGCTCAAAAGAAGTTATCATACTTATCTTTTCGAAAATGAAAGAACCATAAAAGCCGTTATTAAGAATATCCCTGAAATCATCTCCGAAGAGGAAATCTTTCAAAATCGAACGGATAGAAAATTCCCGGTAAGGAAAATAAAACAGTTCACAAGGAAATCAGGAGAAACTGATGAAAAACTTCCTCTCTACTTCATACAATTAGATAACTCACTTGAAGGTAATGCAATATGTAACGTAAATAACATCTTCGGTTTTAACGTCAGAATAGAGAAATTTAGAAGTTCAGAAAGGCACCCTACCCAGTGCTATAAATGCCAGAGGTACGGGCACACTCAGCATAGATGTCACCACGCTGCTGTAAATGCGGACTTAACCATAAAACGAATGAGTGTAATCTAAAGAAGGAAGATTCCCCAAAGTGCGTCTTTTGCCAATCTAATCACGTGAGTTCTTTTACCGGATGCCCGAAATGCCAATACAGACTTGAAAAAATCCATAAGAAAAAGATCCAGAGAAACCCCAGCCTAAAAGTGCAGTCAAAAAAGGGAATTTCAGTGCCGGAGAAAAATCTAGAAAACGTCTCTCAACTCAATCGCATTAAGACTAATGACCCGCAAGCTAATCATAAAGCCAGTTTCAGCAGTATTTTGAAGAACAAGCCCTCAGAAGAAAATCAAGGTAATATGTTCCAGACCTTTTAAGTTATCTCCCAAACGCAGGTATTTTTTCCCACATGAAGAAACTTATAAGCACGATCGAGAAATTAAGGAAAGCTAGAAACTTAACTGGAAAACTTCTGATAGGTTTTCAAGCTATTCAGTACCTTATGGAAATCGCCGAAATAGAAGGATAATTGTCTCAGATGAAAGATTTTTCCCTGTTCAACTTTCCCCTCTTCAGTTTCAAGCAGCTTCTGACGGGCGGGACTTGGGCGGGTGACCACCCACGTGACTGGCCCTAACGAATCGAATGTCATCTCCTTCTCCTCGAACTAGCTCGACGGCCGCTTTCCACTTACTTCTTCAAAATCGCACTTCATGTGCAAGTCTAGCTTCGACTATAACGGCGCGGTGTTTATCGTCTTTATTTTACAATTACCCTCCAACGCTTAAGGGGAATCTCTCAACCGAGGCAATTAAAGTTGCTAGAACAACTAAATACTGCTTAACCATGTCAACTTAAACTTATACACTGGACGGGGGATCAGTGGAGGACTGTTCTCTCTACGGATAAGTCCAAGGGCCCTAGTCTGGACACCGTCGAGATAGAAGAACGGGTCGCTTTTTGCGATCTACTCGACAGAGAGCGAGTCTGGTGTCATCGTCTCGATCATTACAGAGATCGACGCGTCGGAAATTTTTCCGTCAGCTGAACAGCTGTCGTTTAAGTTTCTGACTGTCGTTTTAGAGCTAAACTGAGGACGGTGGAGGTCACGGATTGTTTTTGAAAGTGTACGTAATAGATATTTTAATTTCTTAAGATTTGTGAAAAACTCGAGTATTTCGCTATAGAAATAACGCATTTGATGCTGACGATTCTACATTATTTATTTATTCTACATTACCAACGCCTTAATTAAATTTTAGTGAAAATAATATATTTGGTGTTTTCCTATTTCACATACAGTAGACGTTCGTTTTTACGAACCTCTTTTTTACGAACACTTTCGATTTGACGAACTAGCGAATGGTCCCGAATACACTCCCATAGATGTAATGTAATTTTGCGCTCTTATTTACGAACTACAAATCAAAAGAATCTCTCTCTTTTTTTTTTTTTTTTTTTTTTTTTTTTTTTGCGAACTCAGTTTTCATACTTCTGCGTGTTTCATTGGGACGAAGTGTGAAGGTCAAATAAAATCTCCAACTATTTTGTGGCAGCAAGTGCGAAACATTCGAAGAAGTACAGTAAGGAAGGAGGGGGCGGAGAAGAGGGGGAATTCGGACAAAATTATGGTGTTGTTTGCTGTGGGAGGCTCTCAGAAGAGCATCGGCCTGATGTTGTTGGGTGGGGGTGAGACCATTCGTGTTAAAGGGGTTTGGGTTGCTTCTAAAAGAGAGTTGTTGCTTTTTGTAATGTCATAGTCATTTGATCTGGACAATTCGATCAGTGAAGTTTCGTTAGTCGAGAGGGAGATTGGGCCAGTTTTTGTTAAGTAAGATTCTTAGAGCTATGTCGCAAATGAAGAAACGAATTTGTTTAGCGGTTGAAATAAAGAAGAAGATTTTAAAAGAAGTTGACGAAAAAATGTTAAGCAAGACACAAATTGCTCAGAAATATGGAATTCCTAAAAATAGTTTATCGACGATTTTAAAGGCAAGAGAGAAGATCTTTGCAGCTAAAAACGGAAACGATGAATGTGGACCCTCCTCTCGAAAATATTTTCGAGAATCAAAACACCCAAATTTGGAAAGAGCTTTGCTTGTTTGGTTTCGAAAGATGAGAAGCTTAAACATTCCAATTGATGGAAATGTACTTAAAGAACAAGCACACTTTTTTGCTTCCAAATTAAACATCAAGGATTTTAAAGCATCGGATGCTTGGTTACAGAAATTTAAATTTCGGAATGGTTTGAGTTTCCGGAAAGTGTGTGGTGAAAGTGCAGCAGTAGACACGTCATCAGCAAATGAATGGAAAGAAGAAAAGTTGAAATTGATTCTTTCTGAATACGCTGCAGATGACGTTTTTAATGCGGACGAAACGGCTTTGTTTTTTAAGATTTTGCCAGAAACAACATTAGCTTACAAAGGAGATAAATGTGTTGGAGGTAATAAAGCTAAAGAGAGATTTACAGTTTTGATTGCAGCCAACATGACTGGGTCACAAAAATTGCCTCTGCTCTTTATTGGAAAATATCTGAAACCAAGGTGTTTCAAAAATGTTCAGAAGATTCCTGCTGCATATTATGCTAATAATAAGGCCTGGATGACTGGCAACATCTACGAAAAATGGTTGAGAGATTTAGATAACCGTTTTTCAGCAGAGAAGCGCAAAGTTCTCCTAATCGTGGACAATTGTACTGCACACATGGAAGTCACTGGGCTTCAGGCAATCCGTGTGGAATATCTCCCACCAAATGCAACTGCAGTTTTACGGCCAATGGATCAGGGGATAATCAATAGTTTCAAGCGAAAATATAAGACAGTGCTCTTGCAAAGAGTAATCCTTGGCTTGGAAACAACCTTATCAGATTGATATTCTTGGTGCAATGCATTTATCAATCAGTGCATGGAATGATGTTTTAGATGAAAACAATTTCTAAAGCCTTTCGACATGCAGGTTTTATTAAAGAAACAGACGTAACTGAAGAAATCCATGACAATAGATCTCACGACGAAGATGAGGTTCTCATGCATGAACTTCGCTGTAGAAATCCACAGTTGCCAGAACTTTCATTCGAGGATTTTTTAAATGTGGATTCTAATGTCATCTGCACGGAGGAAATATCGGATCACGATATTATTAGCAGCATAATGAACGAGAATGAGAGACTTTCAGATCCAGAAGAAGAAGAAGAAAATGAAATAACACCCGTCTTTAAAACAAGCTGCTGAATACTTGTCAGAACTTAGACGATTTTTTTAGGCCAGTGATAATTGTGAAATGCTAACAAATATAGGGAAGATGGAGTCTTGCATTGTACAATCTGTTGTTTTAAAGCGGACAAAGATAAGTAATTATTTTGTTGCTCAATGACTTAATAAAGGTACGTTTTACAAATATTTTATATTTCTTGTTTGTTTAATAGAATGGATATCATTTATTAAGTAGTAATACTATTAAAAATAATTCCTAATACATAAATAAAAGTATGGAATAGTATCACTAACCTGTCTCGAAAACATTAAAATGTGAAATACTAGCAATTTGCGATGCCTTTCTAAATTTCGAACTCTCGATTTAACGAACTGTTTTCGTAGTCCCTACGAGTTCGTAAAAACGAGTGTCTACTGTACATTGGTAATGACGCCCATGCGTCCAGCCCGTTCGCGGGATTCGAACTTCGGACCGCACTACCAGTGTTTGGAGATTTTACCGCTCGGCCACTAGTGGGATCGACTTAAAAAGGGCATAGATAGGAATATGTACTGCAATTTCCTTTCACTTCATATGTTAATATATTTATAAATCATTTATATATACATATAGTTATTTATTTAAAAGCAGGTTTTGTATGCCTTAATTTTTTAATGCTTTTGGAACTTACGAGAAATATGTTTTAATGACAGATATATTGGTTATCAGAGATATGTTGGTAATGCAACAAACCCTTTCGCAGTTTTGGACCTGACCGAACTACCATTGTTCAGCGATTTTACCACACAGTCACTGGTGGGATCGATTTAAAAGGGTATAAATAGGAATAGTATTGGAATTCCCATTTCACTGCATATGTTAAAATATATGTTATAAATATGTGTGTGTGTGCAAGATAATATGTTTTATGATTTAACCTATATTTATTTAATTTTTTTATTTTTCTTCCTATTACTTTTGTTAAAGTTTGTTATATTTTACTCACTCCTGTTTATTGGTATCTACGATACATAGTATTTTGATACGGTTATAATTCCTGAATAAATAAAATTATTGATATAATCATGGTTTGCAAAAAATAAAATTTTTTTGATTCAATTCATTAGGAATATTAAACACGCGTACGCGTGATCAATGATTTGACTTATGACGTTGTTGCCTAACCTTTTTAGACAAAATAATGATTTTATAATTCCTTTTACAAATAGTTTACAAACATGTAACTTTTAAAAATTTCCATTTTCCAAGATCATACGTAAAATTATGTTTACGTTTCTTCACATACTTGAAGTTTTGAAAAGGCCTATTTCTTTCTCGTTTTAACAAGGCCAACTGATATCTAGTGGCCTTATTTAAATATCCATTAACGTTCCCCATTTCTTTTTTCCATACTCATTACTAAATCCAGCAGCCTATTTTTTCGAAAAATTTCACCATTTACTCCGAACTCGATTTTTTTTTCTACCGCCATCCTCAGTAATAAGCACTGTGCGGAAACAGCCACTTTGACAACAAACTACCCCCTTTCCCTGAGCCTGGACAAAGATCCGAAAAATATTGCTATTGGATTAGCACTGATTTGTTGACATATTTGTGGATCGATTCCGCCAATTTTCAGAAAAATGGTGGTTGTGCTGCACCAAATTGTTCGAATCAGTCTAAAAAAACTTTAGGATGTTTCGTTTCCCTAGAAATGAAGAAAGACGAAGAAAATGGATAGTTATTCTCGTCGAGTCAATGGCCCGGGCCAGGAGCGTATCTTTGTGAGGTAAGTTCAGCTTCGTATTTTCCATAGATGTTAGAAAAATTACTCTTCTTGGTACTTTAAATATTTATTTTCATTTAACTGTCACTTATTGACGATAACTGATTTATAAGTACAAAAATCAACTGCGGAATGTGTTGTTTTGTGCAGTAAAATATCGTTTGTTTCATGTTGTTTTTTTTATCGTGAAAAGTTTATACCGTTTGTAAAATTTGTATCATACATTTCATGTAACTTTGTGCTCAGTTAGAAATGTGATGTGCCTTTTTTTTCTTTAATTTTACTGTACGATTGGTGATTTAAAGTAGCATTCTATGTTTTGATTCTGTGTATTGTCGCCAAATCGGATAGTTGGCGCCAATGTTAAAAACTGGATGGTGATCCAATAATAAATGATTTTGTTTTTTCTTATAATAAGATAATATATTCTGTATTTTTAGACATTTTAAGAAGTTTAAATATTAATTTAAATTCGATGAATCGTTTTGATCCCATTATTATCCTTTTATTGTAGTAGTAAATCTAATGTTGTATTTTTAACTATAGGTACTTAAATTTATTTTTAGTGTGTGAGCAGGAAATATGTTTTAAGTAGTTTTACAAACATGATTACTTTTAAAAATTTTGTCTATTTCATAAAAAAATTTAATTTTATCAGAAAATTAATTCTTAAATTATTATACTATAGTAACTGTAATTAATACTAGTGCTTTTGATTTTAATGTTAAATTTCATGCAGCTCTTGTTAAATATGCGGTACATTTTGAGAAAATCAATTGAATGCTCTAGGCAAGATGGGCGTAAAAACTCAAGCCCAATGCTGTGCCAACTCTTTTCAATGTGCCTAATCCCCCACAACTGTTGACCCCACAGCATCTAAAGGCATTGGTTACCAAAGCACCGTTCAGTTACATTTTTTGTAATGTATGTGTTTTTTATTTTTATGGTTTTCATAAAAAAATATGTTTTTTATTAAAATGGACTAAGTTGCTTTATAAAGAATCAAAATACTGAGATTAAGGCATTATGTGATAAGCTGTAATTACAGTCCCTAAGATTAGATTAAAAATTAAAATTTTGCTGTTGTTATATATATATTAAGTATGTACTTTGTTATTATAATCATATATTGAAAATTAAGCATAAACCTCAATTTGATGTAGTTTGGAAATTTTGTAGTTTTCGAGGACAGTCATACATGGTCTGGTTCTTCTTCAAATTTGCTCTAAAGAAAGAAACCTGTATCTGATTGCCTTCAAAGTCAAAGAGTTTAAATCAAAATGTGTATTAAATAAGTTGCTTTTTTGCTTAATTTTAAATTCCAGATAATAGAGAGAAATATGTATGGAGTAACTAGAAGAAAATAATATTGAAATTAAACTTTATCTGAGTAATACAATAATATAGTTATAATACATTGATTTAAATGTATATTTAATGTCGTATATGTCTGTCTGAAGTTGTATTTTTTGTTTAAAGATTTACAAAACTTATTAGGATATTTTTATTATTATTAAATTACATTAAGTATATTTATTTATCAGCATTTTCAGGTATCCTACTATATGTGTTTCAATTTTGCATCTCAGGGTGGCTTGCTGCACGGTTTACCTTTATCAACTGAAGCGATTTCTGTTGCTGAACCATTTTGTAAGTCTTCATTTGACAGTTATTAAATATTTAATTATAAACTTTTTCTAAAAAGTATTAACACTTTTTCAAATTAAAAATATATTACGTAATATTTACTTATGTTTAAGAAGTATGAATCTATGAACAGTCCAATATTATGCTTTTTTATAGTTGAGTACTTTGAAAATGGAATGATATTTGTATTTTTTATCCGATCAGAGTGTATAATTTCTTCACTTCCACATATTTCATATATTATAATTTCTTTTAGGTTCATTTGCCAACCTTCAGCTATATTTTGAGAAATAATTTGCTGCCGAAGTATCTGATGTAAATTGCCATTTTGCACTTCTAAAAAATTTTAATGTTTTTTAACATCTATTCGTAAACTGTACTATGTTTTTTAAATGTTTCCATCTTATATCATGCACTTTATTTCATTTCACCAGTGGTTGCAAATGTGTACATTACAGTACATTTCAGGTGTGTTTGCAACAGCATTTAGCATTATTATCTGATTAACTAATTTAATTAAGCATCTGTGCTATGTTTTCATTTCAGCAACTATTAAATGTCATATATTTTACATATATTAATAGATTTTAATATCATTCTTGAAATATGAAATCGTTTGTCTTATTGTTTGCCTTGCTAAACAGATGTACTATATCTGGCTGTTGTGCTATGTAATTATTTTTGAATTTTGAGTGTAACAATTTATTATCTGTTTATGAATTGTAAAATGTTATGTAAAATAATTATTTCTTAAAATGAATGTAGTTTATATCATCTGCATTTGTAAATTTCTTAAGTATATTTCAGGTTTGTTCGCAAGAACAAGTTTCAACTTCATCTTGTGATAAAGTGCCATCTATTTGTGAAGGATCTCATGTAAGTAGATAATTAGTGTATTATTAATGCTTGCTTATCAAAACGTTTCCTAAACTTTTTTTTTTGGGGGGGTAAAGGAATGTAATTAATTTCATCAGCATTTATTTCATCAGCTTTACAAATAATATATTTATAATACATTTATATATACATATAGTTATTTATTTAAAACGTTTTGTATGCCTTACTTTTTTATGCTTTTGGAACTTACGAGAAATATGTTGGTAATGACCATATTGGTTATTAGATATGTTGGTAATGCAACAAACCCGTTCGCAGTACTTGGACCTGACCGGAACTACCAGTGTTCAGCGATTTTTACCACACGGTCACTGGTGGGATCGATTAAAAAGGGTATAAATAGGAATAT